TACACAAGATAATGTTATTCGCGAAAATTTCAAAGCAGAGATGTTAGAAAAAAGAGATAGCATTCAAGATATTGAAATGGAACAACCATTGCCGTCTATTCCAAAATCTCGTAAACGAAAAATAAAAAATTTACAGGAAAATAAGGTATACTACGATTGGGTTTATCTGAAAAATAATTATAACTAATATACTGTATATATATTTTTACAGAATATTAAGATGCGCCTCCTTGAACATCGGCCTGAAAGTGAGTTTGAGGGTGATGAAGATGAAGAATGTGAGGAAGAAAGAGAAGATGATGATGAAAATGAGGAAGATGTTATTGATTTCGATATGGGTTCATTCAATCAATGGGAAGAATCAAGTAAAGGTGGAGAGGGCTGGACATTGAAGAATGGTGAAAAAGTTCGTGATGTTCTTGTTCGTATGACATCAAAGACTATTGAACAAGCAAAGGGAAAAAATTAAAATCATCCACATTGAGCACTATACGGTATATAATTTATTTTCATGTATTTTTATGATATTAAACATTAACCTTCGATGATCGTTTGTGTAGACTTGGGCTTTCCTCAATAATTGATCTTTCTTCCGAATTTTCTGGCGGCATGTGTTCATGGTTTGGTGAAGAATGGTCAGAACTTAAAGCAAAGGCCCTGGCGCAAATAAACATCAAGCCAAAGAAATTTGAATGTGCAATTGAAAGTGATATTAGCAAAATAGAAGAGGTATAATGATTTATGATTTGATATTTATGATGTATGCGTAATTGAATCTTTTTTTTTCAATTTTCAGCTTTGTAGTGAATACAAATACTGGGATGCGAGGGATCTCGCGCATTAAAAATTAAAAGGACGCCCGGATAAAACTAAAGCTTTACAACGCCAAGTAATGAAAATATATTTTTTGATGTACGTAATTACATCATTTTTATGCAGTAGTTTTCCCATTGCTTGTTAAACTGATTATATTTCAATTTATGATTAGTATGGAGTTTTTTCTAGCAGATCCCTACATTTTTGTAGATAGGGAAGGGAATAAACAGAATTTAACAGAAATTGAATTTGTGCTCAAAGTTGCGGGTCCAATAATCGATATTATATTTTCCGATGTTCAACATCTTGTCCAGCTTAAATGGTAAATATCCTGTTTTCTCTAGTATGTTTATCAATAATTGTTTCTAATTATAGATACTTGTAGGGGAGAAACAGTTTCGAAAGCAACAGCAGTTGGAAGAAAAATCGATTTACAAGTTACATATCGTAGAAAAAATCAAGGAAAAATTGTGGAGCTTAGTCATTCTGAGTGCGCCCGTAGACCAACTCCCACTAAAATTATTAGCGATCGCAGTAAATGCCTACGAACCAATAAATCTGTTCTTGATAAATATCTTTCCCATGATCTGTCCGATGAAATGGTCAAAAATTCTACAGTTATTAGGTTTCAGTTGGCAGGTAAGGCTTTTAACATTTGCTACGCATCGCATTGTTATTTATGCTTTGGTCTTACTTTGTTGTTTAGCTTTATATGGTCAAATTATCGGTGTTGACCTATTAGATCATGGATTGTATTTTGGGTTTGAAGGACCACTATTAAGGTTTCCTGCACAAATCAATGATATTGATGTTCTGAAACAAACATTGGAAGCGCTATATTTCTTTAAGGTAAGAAAACCGGAATTTTAATGTTTATTTGTAATTGATTATTTTATAATGCTTTTTAAATATTAGGAAAATATTGTTCACAAAGCAGAAGCACTCTCATACCTTAATAAGGGTTCAGGCCCCTTTAGTAATATCTTTCACACAGAAATAATTTCGAAGCCCCATCACCATAAAGTGGATTTCATGAGCCCAACTTATTTTACACCACAAAAAAATAAAAAAAAAAGAATTAAGAATGTTATCTTCCGATTTGTAGAATAATCTCATTTATTGATATAATGCACAAAGTGCACTTTATATGAAAGATATTTTTTACGCTGGGATCCTAGTCCCTTTCACATTGCGAAGTAATGGCTTTTCCTTTCCCTACTCCTGCTAGCTTTACAATCACTACTTCTATTATAAAAATTTTTTTACTGTAGATTGCCCAAAGCGAGTAGGTTTCTAGAGCTTGTTTGACTTCGTTATATTTCCCAGGCATATTATTAATTATGGAGATGATATTCTGTGCTTCCGTTGCATAATTAGTATTATTTTTTACCATGTGATCATCAATTTCGGCTCTGATTTTGCATTGCACGCGGAGAATTCATTATTAATCTTTTGCGCAACATAATACAAAAAGAGACATGCGATGATGAATTCCATATACAGATGTCCATTTTGGGGGAATATAATTGCGAGGGAGAAAAACAAGGCAGGAATAATCATGAAAGGCATATTTTCTGGGATGTTATATGATCGTACCAAAGCTCCACAGCTGTGATCCATACTCACATCGCAATTGATTTGCCATTTTACGTGGATCAGCTTAAATGCTAGTTTAACTAAAAATAATAATTCTTTCGAATAATAGATCTGAAAAATGTGAATGATACTATACATCCTGATTCTAAATATCTTTATTGATTAAAATAAATTACTAGGCAATTAATCTTCTACGTTAATATAAAGATTATTCGTTAAAGTTATTGCTGTTTCATCTTTTCCATACGAGGAGCCAGAACAACAGTGTAATTAAATGGGTAATAAATCATATCGGATCCAAAAAATTATTAGTTGATCTGTAAATCCTTAGACAGTATGGGTAATTGTTAATCTCAGTTGTTCCTAGGTCTTTTGCTTACTCTAATAAATCATTCTACCCTGTCGCAAGGACAAGCTAGCAGGAAAAAAAAAATTACTTTATATTAAAAACTAGAAAAGTTATGTTAGATCTCTTGATCTTATTGCAATTAAGTTTTTATATTAACTATTCTTTTCTTAGAATATTTATACTTGTAAAAATGATAATATTTTTAAAAAAATGAATACTTATTTAATCTTTTATTTTAGTTTTTAAAAAATTAATTTAATAATTTCTATAAAAAATTTGAGAATTAAGAGATAATTTATTATTGATCTTTTTTCAAAAAAATTATTAAAAAAAGATTTTTTTTTTAAAAAAAAAAGTGAATCAGTAAAAAGAATTTTTACTTAATATAACTTAATATATTTTATATTAATAAATAAAATTTTAAGTAATATGTATATTATTGATTTTTTAAATTATAAAAAATTAATTTTTGTATAAAAATAAATATAAATGAAGACCTGTGGGTCAATAGCATAGTGGGTGTGCTCCCAGGTCACCATTCACAAGCTACTGGTTCAATCTCACTTCAGAACAGTATTTGCAAAAATAAGTTAATTGTACAAGATGCATGCTCAATGTCATATGTACACTTATACACAAGATAACCTATAGATACTCACCGTTCAACCACGATATAATAAATCAGATCATGCAAATCCTGATCAGTTTTAGCACTAGGAAAAAGATCCTATAACATCATGTCACCTGGAATATGTAAAGACCCCAAAGAAAGCCTATAAAGACAATAATCGACTTAGGACTCTATTAGTTTCATATAGAAACTCACTTTTTCTAAAAAAACTATCCTCATGGAAGGCTAGAAGACTTTGGTCACTACTATCAGTCGAAAATATACAAAGGGCTGGTCACATACTGGGAAACACATGTGTCACTGTTACCAATAGTTATCAGAGAATGTGGCCCCATAGGTGCTGAGGGGCTTACTAAAGTACAATAAGCATGATGGGAATCACAGGGATGGACACGTTTGGAGAAACCTATGGCCTCATGTAATAATCAAGAAAAATTTCTGTAGGTCATATTTGAAGAGTGGTTAAAAATAGTCACTAGAAGACTTAGATCATCAATATGACTCACCAATGGTCACCGGAGATCTACTTGGGACCGCATAAAGACCAAGGACATTAATGAACAACTAGCCTTTAAGGACTACGCACAACAAATATGTCTTATGATTCGCATACACCCCATTGAAGACAGACCCTATGATATGAACACATCCCAAAAACTAGCTTCCTGATAAAAAAAATAATAATAAAAAGAATCACCTAATAGATCCCGGAACACTAGGCAGCCCGGGCATAGCAGGGTAACTAACAAAGATGGTACCTTTAACAGGTAAAATTGTACAGCATTTAATCGAGTAAAATAAAATAATATTGACTAGTAGTTATAAGAATTGCTCTTGTAAATCAAACTATACATTATGTAATATTTAATCAATAAAAGCCTAGTCACTATGACTATAAAAAAAAAAATATATATATATATATATATAAATGAAAAAACTTGTGAATCAATAAAAAAAAACTCTTTCCGCAAATCCCTCCGATCCTTAGAAATTTCCTTTTTAGGCAATACACTCAAGAAAAGAGACAACATACACAACTAAAGACATATACTCTCA